TCGTGTGTCGTGTGTGTGTGTGTGTGTGGTGTGTGCTGTGTGTGGTGTGTGTGTAGTAGTGCTGTGTGATGTTGGGTGCGCGTGTGATTGTGGCGTGCGAACGCACCTGTATGTAGTGTGTAATACCGGTGTGGGCGCGCCACGCCGCAGCGCTGTGTGCAAAATTTGACAACGGGAAGGTGAAACCGTGCCCCGCTTACCTGGCTTGCCCAGAATGCCTCACATTTATTAGACGCCGGTTTCTGATTGTTTTAATAGCACACACATACCCACAACTTTTTTTGATATTGTGTTAAAAGTATATAATGCTGTTTACTCAGCACACGGGTTTTAATGACAATATAGCTATCTAAATGGTAGATTAAGGTATAATAATAAGCATTTAATTAGGTGAGCCTGTTCACCTAGCATAGCACGCCACACTAAACCGCAGCGCACACGCACGCCACACACGCACACACGCCACACGACAGCAACACAACGCAAAGACAATCTGCGCGCTTGCGGTGTTTAATCAGCGACTCTCTCGTGGCCGCGACAGCTTGTGAGGCGGCGAAAATAATAAGACAAAACCACCAAACGAGAGACGGTCTGCAGTTGTTGTGTCGGTTGTGTGTGCTGTGTGTGTGTGGATGGCTGTGCTGTGCGTAGCGGTGCGTTGCGTGAGCGTGCCGTGCGCGCCGTGCCGTGGCGTGGGGGGTGCGTGTGTGTACGTGTGTGTGTGTGTGTGATGTGTGTCCTGCGTGCGTGCGTGCGTCGCGTGCGTGCGTGCGTTGCGTGCGTGCGTGCGTACGTACGTAGCGTACGTAGCCGTACGTATGTATGCGGTCGGTGTGGCGCGTGTGACATGTGCGTGTGCAGTGTTGATGTGTGTGCGCACGACGTGTGTGTGTAAATGTGGTATGTGTGTGCGTGGTGGCGTGTGTGATTGTGCGTGGCACATGCCCCGCTATCGTGTGTGAAAATGCGGTGTGATGCGCGCCTGTGTGCATATATTTGACAACGGGAGAGTGTAACCCTGCCCGCCTGCCGTCACCACTGAACTTATCAAGAAAATATCCTCTCAAAACTACTCATGCAGTTTGCTCTCTATTTATTCTCTTCGCAGAATTTGGACTTATTTATTGATCGGCTTCTAAACCAAGAATCGATATTTTCAAAAATACATATCTAAATAAGCTGAAAATTGTAGCTATGAACAATTCAACCCCATTTCCTTTTTTTTTGAAAATTGTATGTCACATTTTAAAGGTAAAATTCAGATTTTATATATACGTTCTAAGATACAATTTTTTTAAACAAATATGAATATATGACTCGAAGTCTCAATATTTTTCGTCTTTACTGGTAAATACATCCTCAAATAATAGTGAGAGAATAAAATGGTTAAACCGGCCATCCATGCAAAAATCAGACCCCACTCCACCCGTCTGGAGGGCCGGCGTAATAGGCTAGTATAAATTAATTATACGTCTGTTTGTCTTCACATCACTTTTACTATCATGATTTCGGTTGAGTGGAAGATGGGGGGCAAATGCATTTTATCAATGTTTTATGGTTGCATTGAACAGTGCATTTTTATTGCATATTAAAATGATGCTTATTTTTATATGGTCTTGAGGTATTTCCACACAGTAATGATGAGAATGCAACATTGCTATCACCCTGCATAAGATGGCACAATTTTTATCTATGTTTAAAACTGTTTAGAACGTACACAGGTTCTCACTGAATAAATTTCGGTCTGTTAAAGCAAAAATTACTATTACAACTGGTCGCATGTGTGTGTGTGTGTGTGTGTGTGTGTGCGTGCGTGCGTGCGTGCGTGCGTGCGTGCGTGCGTGCGTGCGTGCGTGCGTGCGTGCGTGTTTACAAGACAAGCAGATAAACAGATTAGAAGCTACGTATGACGATATTTAAATAGTGTAACACATGTACACCTACTCAAACAATTAAAGGCAGCTCCACACAATGTATTAAATATGCACAAGATACCCAAATCCCACCCTTGTCTTTATTACCACCGTACAGTTGTTGGTTAAGCGCCAGATAAACTTGCTCATTGAAAACGACGTAACAAGTTGTGTGATGACAGGCATGCTGAAAACATACCGTCACTGAACATTGGCCAGTCTGTTAGAAAACAGATGAAGCCTAGGAAATCTTGCCTCTGGGATAACAATGTCTTCTTGATGTTACGTCCCCTTACTACCAGAGTTCTGTAGACCTGGAGACCTTGAAGTTTTCAACCACCGTGCCAGGTCCTGTGTGCTGCAGTGGCTAGGTCGAGTGTAGTGTTGGGCGTAATAGTGATTGTAGATAGCTATGCGGCATGTTTGTCGCAATCGTTGCCATATGAAAGAAGTAGCAAAACCTGATGTGCATATTTCAAAAACTATAACCCCATGACAGTAAACTGAGCCAAAAACCCATGCGACCAGTGACATGTGTACCTGACATTGCCTGGAGTACTGGGTAGTGACCAGATACAGCCACATGTTCAGACAACCTCTCACCTGGTGCTTAACTTTAATTTGTATTGAATTGACTTTGTGTGGAATAAATTTTGTTAATGTTTTATATATTGTACTGATGATACATTTAGTCAGTATATTGGTCAGTATATTGGTGTCAAGTTTCAGGTATAAAAGGCGGGTATAGTGTATTAACATTTATCGTCACACTTAAAATAACCCATCCATAAATACATGCTGAAGTACGATCTGCGAATGATACCATTGTTGTTTTCGTATTGCAACTTGTCTGCTTAGCATGTTATATATAGGCAATGGTACTTATATTATATTAATATTTTCTAACAGTGTGTGCTGTAGGGATACGTTTACAAGCTTATCTGACATGTATCGCTATTCTACAACTCCTGTGGTGGGACGATTTCGCTGTTTACAAACAACGATAAAGTATTCATTCTTGCATGTGAGCGTGTTCATGCATGCATTTAAAGCTCCTATTAATGCGGGGTATTGATATGTTATAAAGCCCTTATTAATGCAGGGTATTGATATGTTATAAAGCCCTTATAATGGGTATTGATTGTATAAAGCCTTATTAAGCCAGGTTTATATGTATAAAGCCCATAAATGCATGATTATTGATATTTTATAAAGCCCTATTAAGCAAGGTATTTTGTATGTTATAAACCCTATAATGCGGTGGTATGAATTTATTAAACCCTTATTAATCAGGTATGATATGTATAAAGCCCTTATTAATGGCAGGTATTATATGTTATAAAGCCTTATTAGTGCAGATTGACATGTTATAATAGCCCTATAATGCGGTTATATGTTACTAAAGCCCTTATTAATGCAGGATTGATATGTTATAAAGCCTATTAATGCAGGTATATATGTTATAATATCCCTTATTAAGCAGGTATTACATGTTATAAAGCTTATTACATGTCAGGTATTGATATGTTATAAACCCCTTATAATGCAGTTATTGATATTTATAAAGCCCTTATTAATGCAGGTCTATTGAATTTATAAAGCCATAAATCAGGATTGATTATTTATAAAGCCTTATTAATCTAGAGGTATTGATATTTATAACAGTCCTATTAATGCAGCGTATTGATATGTTATAAATCCTTTATAATGCAGTATTATGTTATATAAGCCTTTATTTATGCAGTATTGATATTATTATAATCCGTTATTAACAGATTATTTTATAAACCTTATTAATGCAGGGATTATATGTTATACAGCTTTATTATGCAGGGTATTGATATGTTATAAATCCCTTATTAATGCCAGGTATTGACATGTTATAAGTCTTATTTATGCGGTTGATATGATTAAACCCTTATTAATGCCGGTATTAATGGTATAAAGCCTATTAATAGGTATTGCTATGTATATAACCCTATTAAGAGGATTGATATGTTATAAGCTTATTAATGCAGTATGAATGTAATTTTTTTAAAAAAAAAAAAAAAAATCCTATTAATGCAGGGTCATTATATGTTATAAAGCCCTTATTAATGCAGGGATTGATATTTATAAACCTTTATTATGCGATATTGCATATGTATAAAGCTCTATTAATGCAGGCTGACATTTATAAAGCCCTTATTAAGCAGGTATTGACATGTATAAGCCTATTAAGCCAGCGTATTGAATGTTATAAGCCCTTATGAATGCAGGGTATTGTATTTATAAACCCTATTAATGCAGTATTGATATGTTATAAAGCCTATTAATGCAGCGGTATTATAGTTATAAGCCCTTATTAATGCAGGTTATTTATATTATAAACCCTTAGTAATGCGGGTATGACTTTATAAGCCCTTATTAATGCAGGTATTGGATATATTTATAAAACCCTTATTAATCGGTATTTATATGTTATAAATCCTTATTAATGCGGTATTGACATTTATAAACTTTTAATGAGTGTATTATATTTATAAAGCCTATCTAATGAGGATGATATGTTATAAAGCCCTTATTAATGCAGGGTAGGGTATTGATATGTTATAAAGCCCTTATTAATGCGGGGTATTGATATGTTATAAAGCCCTTATTAATGCGGGGTATTGATATGTTATAAAGCCCTTATTAATGCGGGGTATTGATATGTTATAAAGTCCTTATTAATGCGGGGTATTGACATGTTATAAAGCCCTTATTAATGCAGGGTATTGATATGTTATAAAGCCCTTATTAATGCAGGGTATTGACATGTTATAAAGCCCTTATTAATGCAGGGTATTGACATGTTATAAAGCCCTTATTAATGCAGGGTATTGATATGTTATAAAGCCCTTATTAATGCAGGGGTACTGACATGTTATAAAGCCCTTATTAATGCAGGGTATTGATATGTTATAAAGCCCTTATTAATGCGGGGTATTGATATGTTATAAAGCCCTTATTAATGCAGGGTATTGATATGTTATAAAGCCCTTATTAATGCGTGGGTATTGATATGTTATAAAGCCCTTATTAATGCAGGGTATTGACGTATTACAGGTGCTGTAGCTCAGACCCTGCACCGCATGCTGACCATCCAGGCGTTCCGGCCGGACCGACTGCTCGCCGCCACGCACCTGTTTGTCGGTGCCGTGCTTGGTGAGAGCTTCGTGTCGATGGGAAGATCCGACCCTGACCTTGGGGCTGTCGTTGAGCAGGAAGTGAGTGTGGGGACCAGGGAAAAAAATCCTTTTTTTTACGGGAGCTCTTTTTTAAAAGTCTGGGAAAAATAGCTCTCGTCAAAAAATTCACGGGAGCTATTTTGAGCTTCACGGGAGCGATTTCTGAGGATTGAAGAGTGAATCGCTCATCGCTCCCGTGTATTTTTTACCCTGATGGGGACACACCGGGTGCTCAGTGAGGCTGTGCCGTGAGGAATTCTGTACTGTACTGTCTCTTACGTTGACTTGAAAAAAATTAATATGGCTGCTGGCACATATGCAACTGTGTCGCATTGTCTGCCTCTTGCATTACCTTAAAAACGAAATTATTAGGAAATTTTAAATTTAATTCCAGTGCGATTCTATGAAGCATTTCCTCAGAACGAACCGAAAAAATGTTTGTCTCATTTCTGATCTGGTTGCTTTTCAGATCAAGTCGAGCACGCCAGTTCTCATGTGTTCGGTACCAGGATACGATGCCAGCAGTCGCATTGATGATCTGGCGACAGAACTGGGTAAGCAGATCACATCTATTGCCATTGGCTCATCGGAGGGCTTCAGCCAGGCAGACAAGGCCATCAACTCTGCAAGCAAGAGTGGAAGGTAAGAGAATATTCTATTCGGATTGTCGGTTGTCTTAGCTAACTGTTACGTATAAATCAGGCATTAGAGGTGCGTGTTTATGCACCTACAAATAGCATTACATGCAGCTGGGACAAGCGTTATTACAAATATCTCTTCATGTGAGACAAGCAAAGCACTCTCACAGCATGCATCGCAGAATAAATTTTCCTGTATCTGGTCCACTCACACCCTGTACCATGGTAGAAATGTGTGTCCATGTTCAGTCGACTCGCAGTCTGTGTCACAATAGAAATGTGTGACTAATTTATCCACTCACAGCCTGTGTGATAGTAGAAATGTGTGTTCGTGTCCGATCCACACACACCCTGTGTCACCATCAGAATGTGTGTCTATGTTGTGTCCACTCACACCCAGTTCACTGTCAAAATGTGTGTTCGTGATTAATGACGCACGAGCCATTTCTGCTCAGATGGGTTATGCTGAAGAATGTTCACCTAGCTCCACAGTGGTTGATGCAGCTAGAAAAGAAGATCCATTCTATTCAGCCTCATGACAGCTTTAGACTCTTCCTCACTATGGAGATCAATCCGAAGGTAGTGTGATACATTAACAACAGTGTTAACATTGTTATTTTATGTTAATGAAACTTATAGCTCCTCATTTGCAAGCTTGAGAACGGAGAGCAGCGCATTTTCCATGGCTCGAATCTCTCGTTGACTGTGGATGAATTGTTGATTATTGCTGAAATTCTGTCTGGTGTGTCATGTCATTGTAGTACCACGACCAAATTTGGCATTATTTTCTGTTGTCCTGTTCTTACATTTTTTTGTGAAAATTTTTTTAACATAGGTGCCAGTCAATTTTCTACGAGCCGGCCGTATCTTTACGTTTGAGCCACCTCCTGGAGTGAAGGCTAACTTGCTGCGCACATTCAACGCTGTGCCTGCTGCACGTATGTGCCGGGAGCCCAACGAGAGAGCTCATCTCTACTTCTTGTTGGCATGGTTCCATGCTATCATACAGGTAGTGATACTCATCTGGCACGAAAACACGTTCTACGCGTTATCACAATAATAAAATCACAAGCGTGTTATCGACAGAGTATTGACATTACGAGCTGATTAGCTGTTCATACTGATTACTCAACAATTGTTGAGGATAAACAGTAATCATGCATTCATAATCATATACCAGTGAGATATGTTGTTCCAAATGATAATCTAAACAGTACATGTCTCTGTCACTGTTGATTTAAACAAACAACAATAATAGGCCTGAATTATATACATCGTAGAGCACTACATTAGCAACTGTACCACCTTGGCACACGATTGAATCACCATGTTGACTGCACTGTTCATTCAATAACTGAGTTCTATAATAGCCGGTGGGTGCAAAAAGCATTATTACGACCTGTATTAGGATTGGTTGATGAAATTTATCAGCTATTAAAAACAATTGGCTATCAGTAGTTTTTGGTCAGAAATTGGATGCTCCACGTGATTTATTTTGGAGCATGTTTATGATGTGTCCTCGATAAATGATTGTTCATTACAAATTTGTAATTATATCTGATTCCCGCTGTGCTTCTGTGTGATAGGAACGTCTGCGCTACTCCCCACTCGGTTGGTCCAAGCACTACGAGTTCAACGAATCTGACCTGCGTGTTGCCTGTGACACTCTAGATGTCTGGATAGATAATGTCGCCAAGGTAACGTAACTTATCCTGTGATACTTCGATAGACTTACTTTGAGATGTTTACAGCAGCAATGACGTGGTGGTAGAATGTCAGTTGTGATTTTGTTGCCATGTGCCTGCCACCCCATGCACTCATGAGAGTTGTGATCATTTGCTGTAGTATTTGTGAAGCCCCGTGTAATTTATCAACTGGAGATTTTTTAGATGTGATTGCCATGCTAGGATGTGTGAATGTAATATGCCATGCACATTACATATGTTCTTACGTACTATGTAAGAGCTAAAATGCAGTCTTGTACCGAATTTTTCGTTAAATATGTGTTCTGTATAGGGTCGCACAAATCTCCCACCAGAGAAGGTACCATGGGATGCAATCTCTGTACTGCTGTCACAGTGCATATATGGAGGCAAGATTGATAACGAATTTGACCAGGTATGATATCTTGTACCTGTTTTTCTCTGGGTCTCATGATTAAAATGTTGAATTGGTTTGTGAATGAAGCTAGGGTCAGGGAAGTTAGCTCACAGTTTCCAGTTCCCAGTTCCTTATTCGAATAAGGAACTAGTAACTAGGCAAAGCAGTTACCAGTTCCCAGTTCGAAATGCAACATTGAATTGGGAACTGGTAAATTGGGGCTCTGAATGACTTTTAGACCTTGTAACGGGCCAAATAAGATCATTTAAAGGCCTATAGGCGAATAAGTAACTAGGTTTCGAACTGGTAACTGAATAAGTAGCTGGGTGGCGAACTGGTAACTGGGCGACAAAGGGTTAATTTTGGCTCTGAATGACGTTTAGGACCTTGTAAAGGGTCAAATAAGATCATTTACCGGCATAGGCGAATAAGTAACTAAATTTCGAATGGGTAACTGACTAAGTTCAATGTTGCATTTTGAACTGGGAACTGGTAACTGCTTTGCCTAGTTACTATAGTTCCTTATTCGAATAAGGAACTGGGAACTGGGAACTGGTGACTGCTTTGCCTAGTTACTAGTTCCTTATTCGAATAAGGAACTGGGAACTGGGAGCTAACTTCCCTGAGCTATGAAGCTAGCTGTTTTTGTTTTATTCTTATATTGGTTCTTAGTTTTGTTGCTAGGGTCATAGTTAAAATACATTCTGAGTGAAACTCCCCATAGTCCAAAATTCAAAATAGTTACTTGAGGATTTGGTCTAACGACCCAGTGAGTTCATTCAGCAGCTCATTTCTTTTCATTTACATTAATTTTTTGCCTATACACTGACCACCATTGGTTGGTGTTGACATTGATGGACCAGGTTGTGTGTAACAATTCCAGCCATTATTACAAAGCTGAGCGCTGCCTTACTGGGACTTGCTAGTATTATAAGTATTGCTGTCTGAATGGAACATCCCGTGCTCTTTGCAGCGTTTGTTGACATCGTTCCTGAAAAAATGGTTCACACCAAAGAGCTTTGATAGAGAGTTCAAGCTCATGGCAGGTGTGGATGGATCCGTAGGAAAGGCTATTACAATGCCTGAAGGAATCAGGTACAAATCTGTTAAGTAGTGGAGCTAGCACTGGCATGGTTTTCATGGTTGTCATGCATAACCACTTTTAATGATTTCTTACCAAGACCAATATATCCAATATTAGAGACCCACTGACGGAGAAGTTCTTATATTAGGTTTAATAATATCAATAATACTGATAAACACTTTATATAGGCTTTGTATATATATATATGCTTTATGCTGCTTGAAGGTAGCAAGAGTGAAATTAGAAGATAGAAGGGAATGCATTATGTCAATTTCTATTTGTTAGAGAGCCATGAAAAGCCAGCCGCCATTGGCTAATCAATGTCAATGTTATCATATGTGATGAGTCTTATGACTATATCTTCTTGCAGACGTGAGCAGTTTGTTCAGTGGACAGAAAATTTGCCGGCACGACAGACACCTTCGTGGCTCGGCTTGCCGAATAATGCAGAGAAAGTACTCCTAACCAACAGAGGTAATCAAATAGGACTTAACCCAGTCAAGTATTATATACCAACCAAATTATAAAAGGATATAACATAAGAGTCATATTTATTTTGCTGTGGTTATGTGTGCTTAAAATTGGCCTTGTATTTTACACCTAGTACTTCTTGTACTGATCTATATGAGCTAGCTTCTTGTAGAAGATTGCATAACCTTGTGCTGGTTTCTTGTCATAAATTATCGCTTTATTTTGCTACAATGGTTCGTATGTAGTCGATTGTGCCATCGTGTTGGCTCCTTCTCTGGAAGCAACCATATATTTATACTACTGCCTTACATTGACATTCATGCTATTAAAATGGTATCTGTATTTAGCCATCATAATATTAAGCCTAATGGCAAAATTGGTCCTTCTTCGACAATTTTTTTCCCATAATCTGCAATTTCGCACCTCAGGTCAGGATATGATCGCAAAGCTGCTGAAGATGGAGCTGTTGGAGGATGATGAAGAGATCACGGGCACGGAGACGCACACGCAGAAGCGTGATGCTGATGGCAGACCACAATGGATGAGGGTACTCCACCAGACCGCACTCAACTGGCTCAAGCTAACCCCGACTGTATGTATGAGTAGCCATGCTTTCAGAAATTAATAGGGGGACACATAGTTGCCAACCCTTCAGATTTAGTCTGGAGTCTCCAGATTTTGGAAATCTGGGGGTTGACAGCACTGGGGACAGGTGCTAGAGTATAGTACCCATTCTCTTCACTGCATTAATAGAGACTGCCAAATCAGCAAACCAGACAATGGATGACAATGTCTGCTTATCTGGTAGTCTGCTTGTTATTGTTTTATGTGATTGATTTTAACTGTTAAATAATTGGTGAATTCATGACTTCTATGGCAGTAGTTGTGCATACTAATGATATGACATATATAATATCCTGTAAACAAATCATGGAAATCATTTGCAAGATCTATCTATCTGTCTGTCTGTCTATGAAGTAGTAGTGTCTGTCACAAATGACTATTATGTTACTTGGCAGTTACGAAAAAACAACAACAGAGAGTACGTGACATTAGGATGTATCATTACATATTTAGTACATTTTAGGATAACAATATAAACGTAGCAAGAAAAACCCCTTTAGAGAAACACATTAGTCATGTGATTGCCTATACACTATTGATACCCAATAATTTTACTTAATCACAACTCAGCAATGGTTTCCACGGCAACCACAACGCTGAATCTTTTACAAACTGAATCTATATTTATCAGATTGATTTTATTGCCAGCGACTGAACCTTTCTCGCAGCTGACTATCACTGTGTGTGAAATGAATGATAGGGGCCAGTTGTTCTATTCAAAGTTCCGGTAATAATTTACAAATAACGTATGGGGGAAATTACATAGCCCAGGTTGTTGTAACACATGGTATACTATTACTGAATTGGCATATTTTTATACCCCCCCCCCGCCAACGAAGTTAGGGTGGTGTATACTAGAATCAGTATGTCTGTCTGTCTGTCTGTGTCTGTCTGTCTGTCTGTCTGTCCGACACCAGACTTGTGCGCAGATCTCCTCAAACCATATTTGGCACACATCATCAGTACCCAAGATAGTTGTGCACCTGTGATGAATTTTTTTGGTCCGACATTTTCGGAAAGATTTATGGCTGTTTTCCGTAAGTAAACCCATTTGGTTATATATGACATGCTGACGCCATCTAGTGGATTATTTCCTACATAACTGCCAACCCACTACTCGCATACAATCTAATGCCCTGGCCATTAATTCGTGCCAGCTGTTTGCCAAAATCCCCTCCCTTCAGATAAGCGCACATATAAATAACGGCCCCACGTGGTTATAATCCATCTCTCTCTCCCTCTCTCCTTCCCTCCCTCCCCCCCCCCCCCCC